TCGCTAAAGTATTATAGGCCACAAACTCCAGAGTTGAATAGAACTCAACTCATAATTTCATTCCAAGAAAGTGAAGTGCATTATATTTGATGATATATTTGATACTGCCAAATTAAACCATAGAACAGGCCGCAAAACTTGTCGGAAGAAGTTCCCAACTCGAGAACGTTCTCATAATCAACCAGCATTCATGTCCGCAAATTAATCCTAGGCTAAGTAGCCATGTCAGTTACTGGAATGATTTGCTCTATACTATCTACTAGTCGTGATCGTTTTCACTTAAAGATAGTAAATGTTTTTTTGGCTGAAATTCGAATAAAGCGAAGATGAATCAAGTGATCAAATAATAAACAACGGCATGGACATATACTAACCTTTTTATTAGAATTAACGCATAGCACCAAAAGCGTAGCGTTATGTGATAATAATAAACTAAAATATAAGTTTCCATACTGCATTTCCTATTGGTCAGCCGAGTTTATGCCGTAAAGTAATAGTTTATTTCGATAAGCCTATCGTCCAACTGAATAATATGGAACAGTACTGTAAAACAGTGGAGTATCAAAAATTGCAGGTCCCAAGGAATATGCTCGTTTAATGCTTAATAGTGATAAAAAGCGATATAAAATAGAAGTTTTCAAAAAGTGTAAGGTCATCAGACGAATATAAACTAATTTATAAAGACAACTAATTGACTTATAATAAACCATGAAAGCCATACTTCGATTATTGTAAATAAGGCGGTGCAAGACAATTAAATCAGTTTAGAAGCTGCGGAACATATTAATATCTTAATTATTTCGGGAGTTACTTTTTAGCTATGCTAACCAGGGGAAAAATAATGCATAACTAAACATTTACTTGGGAAAAGAGTGAAGTGCTGTGTTATGAATAATGATTTAATAAAGGATGCAATTTTCCGAGTCTAAGATTATGCTGAATATGGGAAAGATTGGTATAGGTAAACTATTAGACTGTTTTAAAGTACTCGGAGTAAAATAACGATGAATTAATCCGTCGGCACTTAAATGCAACCTTCATTTGCGTTGAATCGCGCACTATATACATATGAAT